CTGTAGCTTTATATTTGACACCAATGAAAACAGATACTCCTTTTTTTCTAATAAGCACACTCAACAATTAGGGACATTTCTGAAAATTTCTTACAGCTAATGTAAATTAGAAATCTCAAGATGATCATTTCCAAATCCGGAATTTGCGAATCAGTTGTACTTCTGCTAATCCAGGAATTTTACCCGTTGTTGCCCTTCTGCCCGTCTGTGGCTATGTTCAAAGTTGCAGGGTGAGTCACACCCTCATAAATGAGTTCCTTTTGGGAAATCCACAAACTTGCAGTCATAGTCAGTCTAGCAGGGCTTTGTAACTGAGTCAAGTTGATCCCAAGGTTTAGTTTCAGTTATGAGGTACATTAAACAAAAAGACAGCTGCCACTGGGCTACTTTGGACATTTACATGTAACTTAATTTCGTATGTGCTCATTGTAGAGCTGATTTGAGGCAATTACGAAATCAAGTGCATTCCCTCCGGGTGAAGGGAGCATGAAATGAGGTCATGCTGTGGCTTCTCTAGAAATAGATGAGTTAATACATAGTTTTCAGTGAACACGACTGACAGGACAAGCACATGTATTTGGGTTGTTTGTTTGTTTTATGAAAAAGACAAATTTTTGTAAAAGAACCAACTTGGACATTAACCGTAACTAAGCCTTTACTTCTTTCAAATGGCCTCAGTGGATTTCAGGAACTGACCATGAGTTTCAGTAACATTTGTTTATTCCCATAAAGTAAACTGGGATGGATTTTCAAGCAGTGATGGTAAACTCTGGTCGTACAGTACATTCAGAGGTTATATTTAGGACCAAATGGATAATGTGGAAGAGGAAGTGAGGTGCATTTGTGGTCATCACCATGACTTCTTCCTCTCAACTTTCCCATGAGCGACTGCTTCTTAAAACAAAGGAATTTCAGTACGAGCCGTTGTGAATGAGAGCAGCGGGGTAGATGCACTTCATACATAAGCAAAAAAGACTGGTTAGTGAGCACCAGCAGATATGACTCAAAAATATTTCAGTTATGAATGACTGTCTGGCTGTTTATAGCGTGGCCTTGCTCTCAGTCACCGGTGATGTAAGATCGGATCTACCACATTATGTAAATGCTGTGCAAAAGTACGCAAATGTACAGAGGGCAAAAACACCTAGAAAAATACGAGGTGCAAATGTAGGCCGTGATCTAAATATTATGAGAAAATGGTGCAGTGTGTGTTTTGATAAATGCAGAGATAAAGGCCGCTTTCGTCAACATGTTTATGCAATTAATAGAAAAATTTAAAAAAATCCCACATGCAGGTAAAAATTACTTACTTGCTTTATGATGTCTCTTACAAAAAAATAGACTTTTGTTGTTGAAGCTGACTTGATGAATAAAGGTAAACAAAACTGTGTACGCAGATCAGTCTGACAATGACAGGGGTGAGCGTCAGTGGCTTATTAAAGGCATCAGATCCGCCTCAAAGCTTGTAATCAGAAAGCTGGGCTTTTCATTGTTAAGTGCCTGGAGCACTTTGGGATCACATACATTTCTAAGGAGGGAATCCCCTCTTCCTTACTGCCTTCACAGTCTGCCACAGTGTCGCTTTTGATGGCTGAAACCTTGGACTTCCTCACCAGGGATCCTAAAAAAGAAGAAGAAGTAGGTGCTAATACCAGTGATCTAAGCCTATAAATGTTAAATTAAAATGATTTTCCCAAGTCTACTGTGTTCCATTTCAACTAAACGTATGTGCTTTTCGGGAATTCCCTCGCGATGGCGGGAAATTCCCATTCTTTTAGGATACACAGAAGATTAAAGGTTGTAAACATCTATTCTGTATTTGCTTGGATAAGTGTCAGACTGAAGTCAGGGTGAAGTTCTCCCTCTCTGTTCAAGTAGCTGTGAAAGCTACGTCAGTCATTACATCCTTGTGCTTTGAAACCTGTTTCCAACAGGAACTGGTCTACCACTGTGACCTTTCTTTTTTATTCTTTATTTCTTAGAAAAAGTTCCCAGACATTCAGGTGGGGACGTGTGACTTATTTTTTTCCACTCTCAGATTGGTGTGTAGAGCCTCGGCGTGTGATAATTCAGTCACTTATAGACCCTGTTGAAAATGTGTAGGTGTTTGGTGGCGGGGGAGAATCCCCAGATGGCAGCTCGTGGTCTTTTTTTGTCCTGTGTGTATTTCTACCAGTCTTCCTGTGGTTGCCTTATAGGCGAGATGCTAAAGTTACCCTTCAAAGCCAAAATTGGAACCAGTTATTCCGTGGGCTTCTAAACTGGAGTCAAGATAGTGTGTTATGTAAATGAAAATGTGTGTAAATGTGTTGGAAACTGATACAGTCACCAGTATCTCCCCCAGTTAGCTGATGAGTAAGGAAACATGTGATGCTGTCTGGTAGCTTTTCAAAACCTTGGGGACTTGGGTGCTGTACCCGCTTTGAAGCGTTAATTTGTTTACAGTAGTAGTCAGTTTCACTGCTTTTTACTTAAAGCGTTTTCCGTAACCACAATAACCTTATTTCTATTGTTGCTAGAATGTCTGCCACAAACTTCAATGCGAAGACTGAAACCAAGCCTAGCCTGGTTCTGTCTAATGATCACAAATGACCCATAAACTCCCTACAAATTAAGTCTTGGATTATTAGGTCATACATACGTTTGTGTCATATTCACTGTACTGACAGTGAATATGACCATATCAATATCTCTTGAAATGCAAGAATAAAAACAAAAACAAAAAACAGAAGCAAAAATGTATTGACATAAAAAAAAAAGTTCAACTGAATTGATTGTAATTTTATTGGTATACAGGAAATATTGTGCTTTTCCTCTGTCTTTGTTACAGTGGTGGACAAGGAAAGGTCAAGTGGTCATACTAACCCTCTTAAGTCCAAGTGATCAATGACTACTCCAACCCTGACCCCGATTCTAACCCTTACCCTCCTCTTCTGTCAACTGAACACTCGATGGATGAGGCAACTCTAGCATTAGGAAATTAAAATATCAACTTTTTGCTTTTATTAACCTGTTTCCCAGACCCTTGGCCATCGTGTAGCAGAGAAAATAATCATCCTAACTGACAGACATTTTTTTGCCTCCTCGAGAATCGAAGGTTAGGGGAGAATTAAGGTTATGACCAATAATGATGTACACCCCAATGGGTTAAATGTGGCCAGAGTTTCAAAGTAATTCCAATGAGCTAAAGCTCAGGCTTTAGACTGCTCTAAATACTCAATTCGCTACAGTTTCTTCTACTCTTGGCTGGCAATATGACATCCTAATGTCTTAATATGATCATCCCAAGTGGACACAGATTTAGTTGACCTTTTCGTTTGTCAGGGACAGCCAATTAGAAGGAGATTAGCTTAAAGGGAGAATGGCCTTAAAAGCAATAAAGATAAAACCAGTTAACAGTGGATGAAAAGCACAACATAAATGAGTAAATAAGTTATGGTGTTAGAAAAATCACTGACAAATGTCTGAGGTAAGACTATGGGACTTTTACTATCTTAAAAATGTCTAGTTATTGCGAGTGAGAAACAGTAGTTGAAAGTTGCACAAAACTAGCTTGCTAAAGAAGCTAAAAAAAAGGGCAAACCCCGCCTGAGAGTACCGAATTGAGAAAGAAGTTGCTTCGTTGTTGAAAGTTTACGTTAAAAGACCTTAGAAAAACATGTTTTCTTTCAAAGGCTCTAATCCAGTCCTAAAATGTGCCCATGGCCTGAACAAAGAAAAAAAAAAAAACACACTGCAGCAAAGGTAGGTACGTTTTCGCTCACACAAAAGTACCGCAGCTGTTTGACTGCGTCTGTTCACTTCCTTTTTAAAAACAGGGGATGTCCAGCTTCCTGCACTTACTTCACCAAACCCATGACAAGTGATTCACCAAACAGCACAGTTGGTGCGTGTGTGTCAAACTGATACTTCACCGTGACTGAATGCACGATCTTTCAGACACTGACTGATATGCAGGCATTTGGTTTGGATGTAACTTGAGCCCTTGTATCTGCTCGCTGCTCTCAGTACCCCTGTAGTGTTTGCTTCAGCTACATAACAGCTGGGAATCTGGCTGTCACAGTACAGCGTGCCCATTCAGGCAACACTGGGAAGGGGTTTTCCACCAGGCACACACACACGCGCACACACACACACATAAAAAACACACGTGACATGCTAAAATGACATGCACACAGATTAAGAAGTGCCAGAATTTTCGTGGTTAAGCGGCTAGGATCTTGGGTGCTGTCTATCTCGAGAATTAAAAATACCACCCCATCTATAAATCACCATAAGATAACGTGTGTGGGTAAACTGTCTTTTATTACAAAAATAAGGTACTGCCGCCACAGAAACAACATCTCCACAAATAAGCATACTGCCAGTTGAGATGCAATCTTTACACAAGTCGATCAAAATTTGATCTCCAACATCTGTTTCTGGTTCAACCACGTTTTTTTTTTGTTGTTTTTTTATCCCAAACTTTTACCAAAAATATATATATTTAATGGCTTTGGTGGGGTGGGGGAAGGCAACCAAATATTGCAATAAAATGATTTGCCATTTAAACAATAAGAATAAATATGAATAGTTACATAGTTGTAAATCTGTTATTAATATATACTTTACAAAATAGAAACATGTCAAGTTCAATAGCACCACATTCTCATCTAGATGCAAAATAAGAAGCTTATGCATCGTGACTGTCTTTCATCGTACGACTCCACGATTAAGTTTTAAACTAAATGTCAAAAAAGTGCAACAGGTTTGTAATTTGACACTGAGGTATATTATATTCCATGTATATTGCATCAGTAATCCTCTTCCCCACCACAATAATCTCCCGCAATGCCACAGGAGTACTCTTAGAACCTGACATCGGATAAAAACGAAATATATATATATATATATATATATATATATATATATATATATATATATATATATATATATATATATATATATATATATATATATATATATATATATATATATATATATATATATATTTCGTTTTTATCCGATGTCAGGTATATATATATATATATATATGCGCCAATTGTACAGATTTGTTTCTTTATGTACAAAAAAAAGAAAAAAGGTAAGTCAGTTGTTTGATTTGTAGTCAAGCTTCTCAGAATTGGAATCTCCACTCGGGGTATTTTCTGCAGTGTAGTGCTGGTCTTCAGTGTTCAGTTACTGTCAGTAAGAAATGACTGTTATTTCCAAATCAGTGTTCTTCCATTTACACTCGGGCACACTCTAAGCAGTGGTTCAGGTACTCTGCAGCTTTTGTGTCACTGAACGTGGCGAGGCACTGCGGGCACTGCAACTCTGACATGCCTGGGTGTTCATTCCAGGCAGAGTTTGGGGTTGCCGCCGCAGCTGCAGGTTGCTGGTGCTTCTGGTGCTGCTGCCGCCTCTCAGCAGTGGTCCTCAACAGAGGCTCTGACGTGTCTTTACTTCGCTTTGAGGAGATCCTGTGTCCTATGTGCACGTGACACAAGGGAACCACGTCTCTGCTCTCTCTGCTAGCTCCCTGCTGAAGATAGGGAGGCACGTACACTGTCAGCACAAGCTACACGTACTGGACGGTGGTAACAAGTAAAAGGAAGTCCGTGCTTCTGTCGAGGCACTCATGCACCTAAGTGCAGGGCTGTTGTCTCACCTGTTTGTGCAGCTGCTGTTTTAGCTGAGAAACCTGCTCCTTCAGGGCATCAATCTGGCCCTGCGCTCGCTCCCTGTCCGCACGCTCTGACTTAAAGTCATCAGTGTAGATAAGAACCTTAGGAAGCAAAAAAAAAAAGTTAAAAAAAAAAAAATTCTCTTTCACATTTAGTTTCATATTTAGTTATTTGACACTATAACCACGCTTAACAGAACTCAGCCAATCACCAGGCATGAAATCGCACCAACCTGTTGCTCAAGTGTCTGAATTTGCTCCTTGTCTTGTCTTCTGATGTCATCCATTTCTCTAGCAAGCCGTGCACACTCCCTCATTTTCTCCTCCAGTAAGCCGTTGAGCCTGGAAATCTCCTGATGAAGCAATCCAGTGTTGGTGGAGCCCATCGCAGGCATCAAGCCCTGCCCGGTGCTGTCCTTCAGCCTCTGACATAAACCTCTTATATAGTCCTCCCTGCTGGAGTCATACTTCTGCCACTGAGTATTCAGGCTTTGTACCTAAAAGGAAATTGAAAAAAACAAAACGTCACACCTTCGATCATGCACCATGTTTTATATTCCACCACTGGAGTGTTAATATTGTGTGCAAAAGTAATTGAAATGTGTTTCCTTAAGGACATAATCAGATCACATGTCTATTTTTTTTTCCTGACTGATTTCAGACAACACTAATGAGACTCACATATGCCACACGCTGCTTTAGCTGTTGATTCTCCTCCTGAAGCTGACGGATTTGGGCATTAACACTACCCATCTCAGAGGACTCTGGCACCTGTAAAAGATTAGAAAACAGAGGTTACAACAGGACCCTGAAAAGTTGAAAACAAACAGCTGTATTATAAAGCTATTTAAAAAAGAAATTACAAAAGCAACTGGTGACTTCTAAAAGCATTTACACACCTCTGCATTCTTTTGCGTAAGGGCCACATCTTCCACTTCTCCTCCTCCCCTTTTGTCTTTCTCCAGTCTCGCCATCAGCTCCTGGCACACCTTAACAGTTGCACCGAGCTGCCTGCGTAGCTGGTCGGCCTCCTCGGCCAGGGAGGTACAGAGGACACTTCTGGTGGCCTCAGCCTGCTCCCTCTCCTGCAAGGCTACCCGTAGCCTTTGGATCTCCCGGTCCTTCTCGTGGTCCGGCTGACATCTGATGGTCTCCAGCTCCAGCTCTTTCTCCCTGAGCTGAGTGTTCAGCCTCTGGATCTCCTGAGGAACAATGATGACAGATTCATGGCATGGCAACAACAGCTTGCAACTGATATGTCAGATATGCTCTATGTTTTGTTCCCTGAACACTTCTGCAGTAGAGACTGTAAAATGAACGCGTCACAGTAGACAGCAGCTTACAGTTCAGGGTAACAAACTGATATATAAAAAAAAATCTATATATGGTTATAAATCACTGATTAGAGCTGTAGGGAGAAACATCGACTGTGTACAATCATCAGCATGTTTTTACCTCAGCTTGTCGGGCTGCCTTCAAGTCCCCTTCGTTCTTCTTCTGTTTTAGTTTGCATATTTCATTGAGTAAACTCTCCACCAAAGAGTTGGACGGACTGATGAGCACAGACTCCTTATCTCCCACCGTCATGTAGAGCCTCTCGTGTCTCCCCAGCCTGGCTTTTAAATCTGCAATAACACCGTCCTTTACAGAGATCTGTCTGTTCAGAAGGTCTATTTCCTGCCGCGTCTCATGATACAGAGTATTAAGCACGCTGTAACTCCGCATTTTGTCTCTGAGCATGTCGTTATCCGTGGTGTTTATACTGACGTTATCCATTGCGGGTTTTGTAGACTTTGACAGACGCACCAGTCTCTTAAAAATCCAGCATTTGACGCCTCTGCCTCGAGCCCCGTGTCTTTAGAAAAAGACCGTCGTCAATTGTCTCAAATTTGGCTCATCAGAGAATAATATCCCCCGAACCGGGGATTTCCTAGGGAACTTCCCCGCGGAGTTTTTTGAGCTTCGTCAAAAAGGAGCCATGCTTGTGTTCAAAAAGGTTCACTGTAGATATCCACAGGTAGAAAAAAAAACATTTTATAGCGTCTTGGCACAACTTGGTAAACAAAGAAACATATATTTTAAATGTAGCTAAAAGTTTAAGCTAGGTCTCTTAAAGGCTGAAAAAAAGAGAGACGATTGCTGCTTTCAATTACGTCGGAAAATCTACTACTCCTAGTTAGAGCGAACAAAAATTAAGTTATGTAAAAAAAAATGTTTACCGGTGTTTTATTAGTGCCACCATTATTATAAGGATGCATAGCTTTGGCTTAAAAGGGAGAAAAGGGAATGGCTTGCACTTTAGTCAACTTTATTTTATACAACCCAAATGCTGCTTGCTGTTGGTTTCTACAGAAAGTATAAACTATAATATTGAAAGGAATATCAGATTATACTAAATGAAAAACGCTAATTTCCCAGCGGTAGTTTACCGGGTTTTTACACATTCAGTCCCCTAAAAGTCACATTAGGGCATTTACTCGTAGTGTCATAACAAATTCCCCATGCGCGCCACTCATTTTTGTCAGGCTTTAATTTTTCCCACAGCTTTAAATGCACCGCAATGCATTGTCATTCAAAGAATTACGCATTAAGGACCACACCGGTGCCGTATTAATGGCTGATTTTAGGATGCAGCGGTCTATGACTGAACATTGTCATCCCGTTTTTGTGTGTGTTTGTTTGGTTTTTGTTCTGAAATTTTGGGAAGTGACACAATGTCTCTTACGGTAGCAAATCAAGAATTTACCCAAGCTGTACTGGAAGCAGCTCCAGTTCATGGTGACCTCTTGGTACTGCAAACTGGGAATACTCATGAATAAACGGATCGTGATCTTTACTTTTCTTATGCATTTTCTCTTTTTTAAGTGCTACCTAAAAAAGGGTTCACTACAAAAACGTAATTACACATGGATGACAAAGAACACCACTGATTCCAAATTAATTCATTATACTTGTTGTTGCAGTTTGTAGCTGGCTTTATTTTTATGCAATTTTGTATAAAATACAGATGTAACACATACTGTTGAATCATGGACTGATGTGCTTTTAGCAATGAATGTGTGCTTTGGATGTATAGTCTTAATACGGGTCCCAAGAACCTAGATATTTATGTGGAGGTAATAAATAAATAAATACACCCAATAGAGTACAGTGTGTGTAATCGTTTAGCTGAAACGGTTCCAAGTTTACGTGTGTAACCTTTTTCTCAGACACTTTAAACAAAATGCACAGTAACTAGCATATATAGGTCACACTTACTACATGTGCTCCATTTAGGTTCATCGCTGGACTACAAGAAGAGTGTACTAAGCATTATCGGGTCAAAATGAAACTACTGTCTAGACAGTAGGAGTACCGAGTTAAAGACCAAGAGTGTTCATCAGTTGTATTGGCCAGTGGGGAGTCCCAGGTATTTCTGGGTCAATCACACCAAGAGACATGAGAGGTGTGAAGCTTAATGTCTTTTAATGTCACATGGCAGTCATGTGACGCTTGTTACAACAGCAAGAATTGAGGTGTAAAGTGTGTAAAAAATTGTAGGAAGGTGGGAAGAAGTGTCAGGGTGGAAACTAACTGATTCCACAAAAGATTCTGTCTATAAAAAAACCTAATGCTGACCTGAATCACTTCAGTTCTCTATGGCCTTCTTTTACAGTCTCATCCTAGCAACACCACCCCTTCTTATTGATGATTCACACCTTCATTCATGTGATTGGCAAGTCTCAGAACTCATGTGACAGTAAAATGTCTGGGACTTCCTGAAAGAGTCATCGGTTGACACCTTGTGAACAGGTGGCAAAACACCTTAAACACCATTCATGTTAAGTAGTACATTAACTTGTAGAATGGAAATATATAAACTTCAGAGTTTCCGCTATGAAAAGAGGCTTTGTTAAGTACTTGTTGCAATGCCGAAACAGTAAGTCCATGGAAAATGAAGCACCAACAGTTATAATAATCATGTAAGCGTTATGCCCCCATAACACTTACACGATAACACTTTAAAGATCAGTAGTTAAATATATCTGTGGTCTGGTGCCTCTTTCCAAGGTTAGTGCTTAAAGCTTCCTCAAGCCGGGTGCAGCACTGACAAAGATTCATTGTCGGCATGAATATTGTGGCAATTTCTCTCAACTTTTCTTTTCCAGGGTGGAATGATTGTACAGCATACATTTCAATGACGCAAAAAACACAAATTGAAAGTATACGTTTGAATTTATTTAGGATTTTCTGTAATCCACACAGATTAACAATTAGACATATAGGCTCAAATACATGCATATACGCAAATTTAAATGTCCCTTAGTAAGTTACACCTCGGTGCTTTGGGCAGCCATCAACAACTTTCTGGCATAATTCTGGCTGGATATTTGACTGCTCTTCTTGGCAGAATCCTGCTTTATCCATTCAAAATCCATTTTTGATGTGTGTTTGGGACCGTAGTCCCAAACTTGGATCCAATTGTCTAAGTTTCAACCATCTAGCTCTTGATTTGAGGGAAAGGTGTAGATTTGGAGATAGTCCTCCTCTTTCATTATTCCATCCACTTTGTGCAATGTACCAGTACCACTGGCAGCAAAACAGCCACAGAGCATGATGCTACCCCACCATACTTGACAGTTGGTACAGTATTCTTAGATTTGAAAGCCTCACCTTTACTCCTCCAAACCTCCTCTTATCAGTGTGCCTAAATAGCTCAATCTTTGTCTCATCTGGCCATAAAACCTTTCTCCACAAAGTATTTGGCTCGTCCAAGTGGGCAGCTGCAAATTGCACTCGAACTTGAAGGTTCTGATTTTGGAGCAGGGGCTTCTTCCTTGGTTGGCACCCTCTCAGTCCACGATGATGTAAAACTCTTTAAATGCTGGTATTCCAATAGTGTTTCCAGTTCATGGCAGGCTTGGTGGTTCCGGGGTCGTTCTTGAATATCTCAACCAATTTCCTTTCATCTAAGAGTGATGCTCTTCTTCCAGACCTTGGCAAAGTGGTGACACATAAAAATAATTTGTACTTGTGTACAACTGTTTGAACTGGTGCTCTTGGAATTTGCAGTTGGGTAGAAATGGCCCCAAGAGACCTTCCAAACTTGTATTCTCACTTCTTAGATTTTCATTGAGTTTCTTGGACTTTCCCATTTTTCTGAGTATTGGTCAATCCAATTAGTGCCAACAAATAAATCCTTTCTATGCTCTATGCTGGTAAAAAGAAACTGTCAGCGGTTATTAATCATGTATGATCACTAATGAGAAGTTAATAGGCCTTGGCCTAGTCAAGGTAAAAACACTGTGGAATCTTCAGCACCAGTTATTAAAAGATTTAAGTGAGTCCATGTATAATATTTTGCCTGTGTTTATTTTGTTGATTAAAGAAAATCAAAATCAATTCAAACTTGTGCACCCAGTTCTTTAAATGGTAAATGGCCTGCATTTGTATAGCGCTTTACTAGTCCCTAAGGACCCCAAAGCGCTTTACACACACAGGTAATGGCAAGCTACCTTGTAGCCACAGCTGCCCTGGGGCGCACTGACAGAGGCGAGGCTGCCAGACACTGGCGCCACCGGGCCCTCTGACCACCACCAGTAGGCAAACATGAGGTTAGTATTTTGCCCAAGGATATTTGGCATGCAGCCAGGAGGCAGCCTGGGATCGAACCACCGACCTTCTGATTAGTGGCTGACCTGCTCTGCCACCTGAGCTACAGCCAGCGTCCATTGTACAGCGTGCATTAAAGATGCACGCTGTACAATCCTTCCATCTTGAAAAAAGAAAAGTTCAACGAAATCATTAAAAAGTCGGTTTTCGTCATTGAATATGATGGTTGGCTGTTGCCTGATAACCTAAAACAGAGGTCTTCAGGTTTTGTTGGTCTTATATGGCCACTGATGGTCTTCTGCTCAGTGCAGGAAAGCTGTGTATTTGCTGTGGACTACCATAATCCACCATCATAATAAAATTATATAGTACCGTATATTTTATTTTTGTTACAGCATTCGATGAACTTCCAAGAGTGTGCTTTAACATTTATCGGTTGCTATTTAAAGATGAAGTGAGTCTTTTTCTGTTGTGACCTTTAGCGTTAGCCCACTTTTGGTAGGTCACTTGTGGCGAATGAAATAACTTTCTGTGGTATTGACCACGCTATTTGTGATCATGTGTGTGGGTGTGGGTCTCCATTTGTACTTGGACATTTGTGTGTTTACTTTACTTTGAGAACCCTTTTGTGGTTTAGGACCACGCTTTATGTGACAGTTTGCGTTGTGGTGGCAACAGATTCCTTTTGCCTACTGTTACATGTTGCTATGTTTGTTTGATGTGTGGTAGTAACTTGGTTTGTGGCTTTTATGTCGACCTTTTCATGGGTCTTGGGTTATTATTTTCTGTGTTCAGTATAGACCTTTGGTAAGGTATCATGTGCTGGGGCTTTTCCTGTGTCGGCTCAGGAATTTGTTAGGTCACCTGTTGCTTCATTTGGTGATTGGAAAAATTTGGAAAGAACACTTATTTTCCAGTTTCCCCTTCCCTTTTTCTCTTTTAGATCTCTGACATCAAGGGCTAGACCACACTGCTGGTCAGGAGTGGGGAATTAGGTTTCCCAAGTGGCCACGTGAGAACTGGGGACGATAAGGTGAACTTAGTTCTGCTCAATATTAGATGAACTGCCCACCCCTGATCTAGAGGGTGTTTGTCCTTTCTCTTTCTTTAATTTATGAGCCGGGACATAAGAGAAAATAGCTCCTCAAGTGAAAATATTAATCTTTTCATCATGAATGTAAGAAGCCTTTAGATTGAGTGATCAAAGATGAAAGAGAAAATCAAAAATAATGAACATTTACTAGTGTCAGTTGTTCTTTATCTGCCTTTTAAACACCGATTGATTGGAGCTTCATGTGATTTAAAAAAAATTACTAAAGGTGTTGAATAAACCTCAATGTGTTCAGAAGCAAATCTTACAATTAATTTTATGGATCTTATAACTGTTAACTTTTTAAATATTTAAATGTTAAAATACAAACTGGCATCGTTACACTTGCTGGTCACTGTATTAGGTACAGCTTGCTAGTATCTGGTTGGACCCCTTTTTGCCCCCAGAAATGCTTTAATTCTTCATGACGCGGATTCAACAAGGTGCTGGAAACATTCCTTAGAGATATCAGCCCATATTGACGTGATAGCATTGCTGCAGATTTGTCGGCTGCACACTGAGACTATGATCCGGTGACCGTGGAGACCATTTGAGTACAGTGTACAGTGTGAGAACATGACATGGTATGTGGCATAGTTATTCTGCTGGGAGCAGCCATCAAAAGATACTTAAGTAGGCTGTGGCCCAAAGTGTGCCAAGAAAATGCACACCACCACTACACAAGCAGCAGCCTCAACCATTGTTTTCATGCTTTCATTATGTTTATGCTAAATCTGGATCCTATCAGCCGAATGTTGCAAAGGAAATTAAAACTCATCATACCAGGCGACCTTTTTCCAGTCTTCTGTTGCCAGTTTTGGTGAGCCTGGTCAAATTGTAGTCTCAGTTTCCTGTTTTTAGTTGACAGAAGTGGTTCCCACTTCTGCTGATGCAGCCCACCACAGGTGTACATTTGACATGTTGTGCATTCAGAGATGTTCTTCTGTGTACTTTGGTTCTAACAAGTTGCTATTATTTTTGCTGGATATTTTCTCTTTTTTGGACCATTCTCTGTAAAACCCAGTGATGGCTGTTTTGGAAAACCCCAGCAGATCAGCAGCTTCTGAAATATTCACAAATGCCATGTTCAAACACGCTTAAATCACCTTTCTTCCTCATTCTGATGCTCGGTTTGAACTTCACCAGGTCATCTTGACCATGCCTATGTGCCTAAATACGCTAACGTGCTGCCACGTGATTGGCTGATGAGATGTTTGCATAGAGGAGAATCTGAACAGGTGTACCTAACAAAGTGGCCGGTGAGTGCATATCCAGTGATCTATGATCAGATTTTTAACAGTGAATTCCGCTAGATGGCAGTGTTAAATCAGTATGTTTCTCTATCCTATAGCTGTGGGATCAAGATTATTTTAAAGTAGGAAAACGACCTCTCTCCTGTGCACAGCAATGGACCGGCTCATTTCAAATATTAACTTTGTATCTTTTAATTGCTGCAAACTTTACACAAGAATAAATGACAGTATTTGATATTTACACTGTAATACATCCAAAATGACTTATGTTTCAAGCACACACACACAGACACACAGTTACTTGCATTTACCAAACTACCTGCTCATCAAAACCGTCCAATCATCAATACCAAGAAGCAGTTTGCGTCACTCAGAATGAAGATGCAAAGTTGAATGTTTACATGACACATGAGTGTCTAGGAGTAAAAAAATATTTTTATCATATGGTGGTAGAAAATTATGCAGTTGCTCAAGTACAAAACGTTTACCAAGAATTATTAAAATACTGAACGGGAAGAGAATATAGCCAGCTATCTCTCATTTGAGGAAATGGTAGGAATACAAAACTACAAATATTTGCTGTATGCTTCGCGCTAGGCACCCCTGGATCACAGCTTTAATCGCTGGGCACTGTGTAAAATGAATCCGCGTTAGCATCTGAGGCAGAAGTGACTTTCTATAAGATGAGAATACATTGTTAACTTAATCCAAGCAGTACATCACCAGATCTGTTGCTGCTGATCTCAAAGCTGTCCAGGTCTGCGTGTTGTTGTTGATTTTAAATGGGGCTTTTATAGAAATGACGGCTAAAAAAACCAATAATGTTAAAAGATTTAACACCTGATTTGACCTCCTGGAAAAGATGAGAAAAACGCCCTAAAAGTCTGACGAGCTCACTCTGTGAGCTTTACCAGGATGACACATCTGCCAGTGATAAGTAGAGTCAGTCATTTTCAAATCCTGGACTCAAAGCTTTGCTAGTTTTCACTCTCTCCGTGTAAGTTGTGATTGCTCTGGACCTTGGACAGCAGCTGAGTGCAATTAACTGTAACTGATGGGGCCGCAGCAAAGACCATTCGCTGGGGAGGGACGCACAGTTTGAAATTGGCAGCTAGGGGGCACCAATGTTACCGGTGCGTACAAACTGAATGGACGTCTGTCTGGAAGTCTGATTTTCACAATAAAAACCACAGTTATAGTTTTAGAGTCAAATAAAAGATTTTTGGTTTATTCAAGCGTGTTTATCTATACTTTATACCCCATTTCAACTTCTTCTTCTTTTTAAACATTATCTGTATTCAATGATAAACCAATGAGAGAAACAGTAAGCTGTGCGTCCTCTGGGGCCAGGCAAACGTCTTTGCTGCGCTCTAGAGCAGAAAAACCAGAACTGCGACCACAAAAGAAGGACTCCCTCAACAAAACTTGACCTTCAACCTTAACATGCAGGTACCCACCCCACCTCTTCCTCCCCCCTCTTCCCTAGCACTGTAACTTGCGGACGCTGCGTGAAATCCTTTTAAACTCGCGCTGTCCCTTCTGCCAGCGCTTCAGAGAGGTGATGACCAGATGGCCATCCATCTTCTGGCCCATGACGAGGTATGCGGCGTTGATGTCGTCCATCTCCTCGCAGATACACTGCAGCCCGTCCTTCAGCCACAGCGCCGTCTTCCTGAGGTCTCGCTCCGTCACGCCGTTCACCATGTAGATTGCCTTGCTCTTCGTGTCCGGCACTATTTTGGTGTCGCCGTTGATGTAGGCGATCTCCTTCACTTTGATTTTCAGAGCTTTAGTGCATGCAGAACGAAGAAAGAGAGCGAGAGATGAAGGAAATGCTCACTTATGAAAGACGTGGGAAATCCATGCAGGGGTGGAGGCCTAACTGATTCTCCTCTTCATGCTGCCCTGAGACAACTCGGCGAGCTCTCAGGGGCCCCTAAGCTATGCTGACCTTGATGTACTAATGCTCTGATGCATGGGTTGGGGAGACTTACCAAAGTCATTTTTGCAGAGGTTCTCAACAATTTCGTTGTCATTTTCATCAGTTTCCTTGCAAGCATCGCACACCCTGGGCGCTGAAACGGGAATCAAATGAGGCAAATATTAAAAAATGATTTGTGCATTTACTAAATATACATGACTAGAACACATGCGTCGATTTTAATTTTTTTGTTTAACTTTTTTTTTATGAAGCTGCAAATATGTGTGAATTTTGAGCCAGTGTGCCTCAAAGTGAATTTGGGATTCATGCAGAATGTTTGCGCCTGGTTACCCTCTTTGGTGGCTGGCGCAAAGCTGTCGATTCTTGCAGGCGGTATGCACAGGTCATTGTCGAGTGGGAAGCGCTCGCAGTCCAGCATCTTTGGCCACGGAAAGCCAAAGGCGGACATCACGGGCGCGCAGCCGCGCTTGACGTTTTCACAGAGAGACCTGCACGGCTGTATGGGCTCGTCCAAATCGTCCAGACAGACCGGAGCGAAAAGAGAGCAGAGGAACTTTCTCGTGTCCGGGTGACACTGTTTCTGGACCAGCGGGATCCAAGACGACGCTTGCTGCAGTACTTCGTTCATGGTTTCGTGTCCGAGCAGGTTCGGGAGGCGCATCTCCGTGTACTCTATATCGTGGCAAAGCAGGAGATTTGCAGGGATTGCCTTGCAGTTGTTTTTCTTGTAGAATAGTTCATGCTGGCCGAAGTTATACAGTCCGTGGATTGCTTGCAGGCAGGGCATTGTTATCACCCACAGCACCGCCACGGTCGGAGTCAAAGCTCTCATGCTGTCTGGTGTATGTGAAAGTTTCAGGCTTTGGACGGAGCTTCTGTCAGTGGCAGGCTTCTACTGTGACAGGAGGTTTTCTTCCCGGCATGTCTGGGAGGAGTCTGTATAATATGCGCAAAGACCTCTTCATTCAGCACATTTGGTTTTCCTCCTATCAGGTGAACCATGTGGACAAATTTGTCTTCTCGGTCAAAGATCCCCCCCCCCTCCCCGCGAAATTCTTACTCCTTTGGGGCGTAGAGGCATTTTTGATTTCTAATTATGGCTCGTAGTATTTTATCACCAGTCGCTTTCTTGACAGCTTCCCTCCCCCGAGTTAATCTCTGGCTCTCCGTGGAAATTAAAACAAATGCGTCTGACAGGTTCCCCTCATTACGCCCAAATCAACAGACATTCATCCTGAGTGATCCCCCGTTTTCTTTTCTTTTTCTTTTTTTTGCAAATAGTTTAGAAATGTCAGTAGGGGCATTTAGCTCAGTTCACTGGAGCGTTAATTTTCCATCATTAGGAGTGGTGAAATCCTCCGGGCAGGTCTGCAGGTTCCATACCACATGGTGAAATATTGTTTGCCCTGGTGTGAGAAGCAGACCTGCACAAAGCACACCCAGGGGTGAAACCAAATCTGCCTCCTCCGGCACTGCAGCTCTGGCTCATGTCCACTCGCAGACCCCCATGAGCTACAGTCACGTCTGCAGAGAGCAGCGTGGTTATTCTCAGGCTTGAACTTCCTCTTCACATTCACTTGAATGGAGCTGAAATGAATTAGGACTTTGGCCTTTGGATCAGTTCAGCAAAATCACAGAAACATATTTTCCTCCTTAGGCTACTCCCCCGTGGAGATATGCACATGCTTTTGGCTTTTACTTACCCAAATCCAGATATCTGTTGTGAGATGCCTGCTGCCTGAGAGCCCTGCAGCAACGTGGCTTTTGTTTCCAGTGGCGAAGACCTGAGGAGCATTAATTAAGTGCCACACACTGATTCCTGTGTTGTCAGTGCTCCTTTATATTCCTTCGATCATTCCAAAAGGTTATGAGTCACTTGTTCTAAGTAATAGTCAAAAAGGTATTTGAACTGAAAACAGTTGTAGTTTATTTGCTCTGAATTAAACATGTCATTAAAGTTTATGGGTCCACGTGTGCCAGTTTTGAAAGGGCTCGCTTTGCTGTTTTTCTTTCCATAAGAAAACAAGACAGAATATATAAATGATTTGGTGAACCTGGCACATCTAAAGAGTATCTTAAGAACAGTTTTGCACACTTACATGAAGTGTTAAACCGTTTACCTCCTGCAGATACAGCCGCAGTTATTTCCAAGAATCGTTAGAGGACAGCAGCAGTGGTAGCGAATTCATGTCCCAATGGTGTATTTCCTGTATTTGAAATAAAATAATTTTCTTTATAATAATTATAGAAAAAAATAGAACAGGGTTGCAATGTTGCATGCCCTCAAAATTAAAGGTGAAATCTAAGGATTTATGTTTTTCTTATTTGGAATAAATCTCCTCCCAAGCCACACTGAAATTCCTCCACTAGTAAGTGTTGCTTAGTAGCTTATGTCACAAAGTGCCATAGACGTCCACTGTTGTCCAGAACTAAGAAAAAACTTTGCGATGCGTCCAGCAGATAACTGAAGCATTCATTCAAAAGTGGAGAGAAGCATCAGCATGATAGTTCCTCTGGGGTGATGAACTTTTCATTATCCATTTGAATTTTCAGCATCATGTCATTTGCTTCTTAGGAAACAGCTGTTTCACTATGCTGGTTAATTTCTTTTTTTACATCTTGATTTATGCTTTTGATTAAAAGTAAGTCAAACAATTTCTGCAATTTCAACACTCTTTTTTTAAAACAATGAAACAAAACCTTTGCAGTGGCACATGTTACATATTGCCTCCGTGGCCCAATGACAGCTGCAGCTGCGCAGTGCTGTGGGGGTTGAGGATTACACTTTCACCAGTTTAATAGCACTATGATGGATACATTTAATATTCATCCAGTGCCTGTTTGTTCTCATGCAATTCACCTATTCTTCATAGACAATATCCCACTTAGAGTAAGTGACCTAAATGCTATGTCATTTTTGTAATTTGGTTGAACTAACAAAGCAGGGAGACTTTTGACTTTGAAATTGAACACGATTATCAGCATAAATTCCAGAGACTTGTTTCGTAACCTGTTTCAGATTCTTCTATTTTTAATTTTCTCTTATCACCAGCAAATTCAATTCAATTCCAGTTTATGTATATATCAAATCGCAACAAGAGTCACCTCAAGGCGCTTTATATTGTAAGGTAAAGACTACAATAATGCAGTAATAATACAGCCCCGCCATGCACAGACACCCCCTTCAGCAAGCACTTTGCAAAAGTGGGAAGGAAAAACTCCCTTTTAACAGGAAGTGACCTATGGAAACACATTAACTTAAAGCCCAAGTGTGATAAGTATGGGTTTGCCCTGTGCTGATAGTAAATTTCAGTTGCAGACGTTAGTAAATCAGTTTGTGCACTTGATTTAAAATTTCTCCTCCCTTTTATTGCACCTTGGGAAAGGAACTCCCAGAAACACATATGCATCAGGGTCAGTTGTAGTTCCCAGCTCTTATACACACTCTTGTCACTGCGCTCTCTTTGTAAGTATTGACAGTACTTTTTTTTCACCAAAGTGCAGTTTGCGATGGCGCAACGCGTTACTAAATCTACCCCCAGGGCCACTAAACAAGATCAGATTTAAGCAGGCCTCATATGCAAACCGTTATGGGAGATATGCTGCAGAATCGCATATGTAAAATATGTGGGCGAACAGACAGAGGAGTGCATCGTCAGGGCTTCATCTCAGCTTTGGAAATTACAAGAACCAAAGTCTTAAATCAAAGATTAACCAGATCCAAAGGGTGGGGGATGGCCTGGATCAAGTCTAACAGTGTTTAAGGGTTTATCTCTCCAAACACAAAGCCTCTATTACAAATGCACTTTCACAGACATTTAAGTTTGGGGGCTCAGCGGAGACGTGAGCTGAGCGTTACCCCAGCAGGTTCTCATTACAACTCTGTGTAAAATCGAGAAGCAGCTCGTCATCCCATCTTTAGCTCAGTAACCTCGCCCCCATGCTTTGACTGTTTTTACTTAACAATGCTCCTCTCATTTCTTTCATTCTTTTTCTTTCATAAAGACTCAAACTACTGACAGATATGATCACAGACTGGGGCAAAGCTCAAAACAAAGTTGGACCCTAGGGGCAAATGTTTCGAGACATCAATTTATTGACTGTTTATAAGACTTGTCTTAGTGTGAGGAGCATCAGCAAACTATGGTGCAAACGCAGGCCTGCTGTTTTTCATTTGGTATGTTTTGTTTTACCATTTCCACGCAGACAGGCTCATACAGCTTCATACATTAGCTTTCAGTAAATGAAAGGACAGGTCTGCTAATCATTTATATATTTTTGATTGTCAACAAATCTCATTAAAAAGCCATAAACAAAAACAAATTGATCCAAGAATGAAATTTGCAGCCAAAGGCAAATCAAGTTTCCTTCACTGTGTCACTGACATCCATTACTGTCAGTCTGAAACAGGAAACACATGAATGAGGCACAGCGCTGTACCAGGTGACATGTTTTTCATTATAATGAACAGTGGCTCCATGGTGTAAGTCTCCCCCACATATCCAGCTATAGTCAGTGCTCACTGATACACCAACTGTGTGTTGAGTTGAGGAAAAAAGTAGTCCATGTCATGCACGCACGCACGCACGCACGCACGCACGCACACACACACACACACACACACACACACACACACACACACACACACGCTCCTGCCTTTATAGCAGAGCTACTGTGACCTTATAACAGCAATCTGATCTTCTGATTAGGGGCTCCTAACTGTTCCACTCTCATTTTTTAAAACCAAAGGCAACAACGCTTTTGAGGTTGGAGCACTTAAACTTTCAAACTTCCTCAGCCTATCAGATCAGCTCAATCTGTATGTTTTTATTTAATGACTGCAGAAAACTCATTTTTATAGTTTAGTGTTTCTTTGATCTTTCTCCTGTTAATTTTGACCATAATCTGTATCTAATGTGTGTAAGTTGTGCTGGACTGCATGTGTCTGTATTTAATGTGTGGCTTTTTTTTTTTGCTTTTTTTTTTGTGATGCACTTTGTAACCACGGGATTTAAAAAGTACTATACAAATAAAGTTATTATTAATAATAATGATAATGAATAATTTTGCAAGCTGGAGTCAAAATTCTTTACTCATTTTTACCGAGATGGTTTTACTTGGTGTTAACTGTGAAACTACAAAATATGCTTAGTCCACTACAAAGCCTTGACTGATAACCTTTGCTTATATTCAGAGGCACCAAACTGAGAATCAACTGTACGGCTCTGAACATTGTCTTGAAATGCACTAATGAGCATGTCAACTTGAATCACTCTTTTTCTACACAAACATTTGGGAAGGTATTCATCCCATCCAAGAGGAATTAATCTCGTTAGAGCCCCTTGAGTTATATAGATCGTGCCTGCTTGGCGTAATTGATGTTCCTATTGTACAGGTCTAATTGACTCAGTATGGGGTTTCAGTGCAGCAGCTGGGACACAAATACCAGGCTTTGGCATAACCAAATCCATATTACAGATGCATGCATTGCACAGAGAAATGGGCAAATACGTGGAGGGTAAGAATATTCATTTGTATTTGTGTGATTTGACCAGTCGTTGTAGGGTGATTAAAGACAGCAATAACTCCACCATTTATGGAAATACATCTGTTTTTATCACAATGTCAAATTAGTGTGTATGTGTATCCTACTCTTATGTCTGTAGAGTATCACCCAGCAACAGGTGTTAGCTGAGTTCAGCTAACCATAAGCTCTGTTCAAAGGTTCAGAGTCTAAAAGCTTGAGGTTGAAGCTGTTGATTAGGAGCAGTACCTTGAAATAGCAAAAAAAAAAAAAAAAGGAATTACTACCATAGTCGTTGTTATTCCTTTACAGATTAAATAATCTAAATTTAAAAAAAGTTGCTTTCAGCTGTTTCTTTATTCATAAGGCATCAACCA